AACCTCAAAACTTTGGAAGGCTGAGGCAGGAGGAAAGCTTGAGCCCAGGACATTGAAACCACCATGGGCAACATAGTGAGACCCGGTCTTTACAAAATATAAGAAAACTAGCCAGCTCTGGTGGTGCACACCTGTAGTGCCAGCTACTTGGGTGACTGAGGCAGGAGCATTGCTTGAGCCTGGGAGGTCAAGCCTGCATGCAGTAAGCTGTAATTGTGCCACTGCACTCCAGCCTAGGCAACAGAGTAACACTCTGTTTCAAAACAAACAACAACAAAAAGAATACTCAGAAGCATATTACCTTAGTATTTGGGCCAATAATCTCTAAGCTTGTTCTAAAGAAAGCTTAACAATAAGCATCAATAGCATCAAATAATTTTACATAACTTAACTCCATACTAGTACAAAGTACAACACTCTTTAAACACATAGGACAATGTCTAGAACTTAAGAACATAATTACAATATCCAGGATCCAGCAAAAATTACCATTTAAATCAAGGACAATATAGTCTATAATTAGGTTGAAACTAATCATAGAGAAAAACAATCAAGACATGATTGAGATGATAGAATTAAAAGAAAAAGGATGTTAAAAAGACTATCATAAATATGTCCCATAGGTGCAAAGTAGAAGAACAATGATAATTTTAAGGACAGAAATGAAATATTTCAAAAAAAACAAAAACAGAATTTCTAGAGATGAAAAATATGTGCGAAATGCAAATACACTGGCTAGTAGATAAGGAATAGCAGGAGAAAAGATGAGCCACTGAAGATACAACAGTAGAAATAATACAAATTAAGCACAGAGAGAGGGACAAACATCCAGCTAAACTGCTGTCTAAATTTTGAGTCACAGGAAAAGTGAGATCAAAAATGTTGTAAGGCATTAAATTTCAGAGTGTTTTCTTTGGCAACATTAGATAACTAACTGATACAGCTATCTACAGGAAACTCATTTTAATGATAAAGACAAAAATGAGTTAATAATAAAGGGAAGGATAGGGATAAATATTAATCAAAGGAAAGCTGGACCAGATATATTAATATCATATAAAGTAAACATTTAGTAATTGATGAATATTAATTTTTTGAAGGAAGCATAAATGTACATGCACTACATAAGAGTTTCAAAATACCTGAAGCAAAACTGACATAAGGGAAAGGAGAAAAAAGGGAATAAATAAAGGAGGAAGAAAGGAAAGAAAGAGAATAAATAAAGTCACTCATTTTCAATAAATGAATATTGAAGTCCCCTATTTCAATATTCATCCCTCAGTAATTGACTGAATATGCAAATACAAAACCAGTAAATATCAAAGATATTTAAAACACTATCAAATAAGTTAATCTACTTGGGATTTATGAAACACTCCACCAAACAATAGCAGTCTATAAATCTGTTTTCATGCTGCTGATAAAGATATACACAAGAGAGTGCAATTTACAAAAGAAAGAGGTTTAATGGACTTACAGTTCCACATGGCTGGGAGGCCTCACAATCATGGTGAAAGGCAAGAAGGAGCAAGTCACATATTACATGGATGGCAAAGAGAGAGATTTTGCAGGGGAACTCCTCTTTATAAAATCATCAGATATTGTGAGACTTATTCACTATTAAGAGAACAGCACAAGAAAGACCTGCCCTTGTGATTCAATTACCTTCCCCTTGGCCCTTGCCTTGATATGCAGGAATTGTGGGAGTTACAATTCAAGATGAGATTTGGGTGGGGAACCAGCCAAACCATATCATTCCACCTCCTAAATCTCATGTCCTCACATTCCAAAAAAGTTTGCCTTCCCAACAGTCCCTCAAAGTATAAACTCATTTCAGCTTTACCTCAAAAGTCCACGAAAGTCTCGTTCTGAGACAAGGCAAGTACTTTCAGCCTATGAGACTGTAAAATCAAACCAAGTTAATTACTGCCTAGATACAATGGAGGTACAGGCATTGGGTAAATACAGCCATTCCAAATGGAAGAAATTGGCCAAAACAAAGGGGGCACAGGCCCTATGCATGTCCAAAATCCAGCAAGACAGTCACATCTTAAGGCTCTGAAATTATCTCCTTTGACTCAAGGTCTCACATCCAGGTTGTGCTGATGCAAAAGGTTGGTTCTCATGGTCTTGGGTGGTCTTGGGTAGCTCTGCCCCAATGGCTTTGCAAGGTACAGCCTCCCTCCTGGCTGCCATCATGGGTTGGCATAAAGTGTCTGTGGCTTTTCCAGGTGCACAGTGCAAGCTGTCAGTGGATCTACCATTCTGGGGTCTGGAGGATCGTGGCCCTCTTCTCACAGCACCACTACATGGTGCCCCAGTAAGGACTCAGTGTATGGGCTCTGACCCCACATTTCACTTCTGCACTGCCCTAGTGGAGGTTCTCTATGAGGGCCCCACCCCTGCAGCAAACTTCTGCCTGGACATCCAGGCGTTTCCATACATCCTCTGAAATCTGTGCAGAGGTTCCCAAACCCCGATTCTTTACTACTGTGCACTGTCAGGCTCAATACCACATGGAAGCTGCCAAGGCTTGGGGCTTGCACCCTCTGAAGCCATGGCCCAAACTCTATGTTGGTCCCTTTCAGCCATGGCTGGAGCAACAGGGATTCAGGGCACCTAGTTCCTAGACTGCACACAGCACTGGGAATCTGGGTTTCACCTATGAAACCATTTTTTTCCTCCTGGGCCTCCAGGCCTGTGATGGAAGGGGCTGCCATGAAGACCTCTGACTTGACCTGGAGACATTTTCTCCATTGTCTTGGGGATTAAATTCGGCTCCTCATTACTTATGCAAATTTCTGCAGCCAGCTTGAATTTCTCTCTAGAAAATGGGATTTTGTTTCCTATCGCATTGTCAGGCTGCAAATTTTCTGAACTTTTATGCTTTGCTTCCCTTATAAAACTGAATGCCTTTAACAGCACACAAGTCACCTCTTGAATGCCTTGCTGCTTAGAAATTTCTTCTACTAGATACACTAAATCATCTCTCTTAAGTTCAAAGTTCCATAAATCTCTAGAGAAGGGACAAAATACTGCTGGTCTCTTTCCTAAAACATAACAAGAGTCACTTTTGCTCCAGTTCCCAACAAGTTCTTCTTTTCAAATGCACATAGAAAATTTATACACACACATACACACACACACACACAATGGAGTACTATTTAGCCATAAAATAGAAGGAAATCCTGTCATTTGCAGCAACACGGATGAATCCTGTCATTTGCAGCAACACGGATGAATGCACGGAGTGCATTATGTTAAGTGAAATAAGCCAGGCACACAAAAACAAAGACTGCATGATCTAACTTATTTGTGAAATCTAAAAAAGTTGAACTCGTAAAAGCAGAAAGTAGAATAGTGATTACCAGAGGCTGGGAGGAGAGATGGAAGCTGGGTTAGTAAGAGGCACAGTTAGAATTAGACAGTAAGTGTAAGTTATTGCAGTCTATTACACATTAGGGTGACTACAGCTAATAACAATGCAGTGTATATATCAAGATATCCTGAAGCAAAGATTTAGAATGTTATCATCAAAAAAATTGTTTAAGGTGACAGATACGCTAATTACCTTAATGTGATCATTGTACAAGGTATACACAATCATTGAAATATCACACTGTACCACAGAAATATGTAAAATTGTGTCAATTATAAATATAAATAATTGTAAAAGAAATTAGAAAAAAAAGGGCAAACTATCTCCAAAGTAAGCTACAGAAGAGCAAATTAGGCAAAAAGTAAACAGACAAAAATGACAAAAGTAAAAGTAAAAATCAACGAATAACAAAAAAATAGAAACAAATGCTGGTCCTTCAAAAAGATCAATAAAATATATATTCCGCTAGCCATATTGATCAAGAAAAAAGAAAAGATATTATTAATATCATGAATGAGACACGTGTCATATCACTAAAGATTCTACAGGATAATTGTATATTTTGAAAAAATATGCTAATAAGTTTGACAACTTAAATGAAATGGATAAATTCCTTGCAACACAGAATAATTATTTATGTATTAATAAAATTGAATAAGCAGTTAAAACATCCCTCTCAAAACACTCCATGTCTGTATGGCTTCACTAGTGAATTCTACCAAATATTTTAAGGAAAAAGTACACCTACTCTACACAAGCTACTCCAGAAAATAGAAGAGAAGTAAATAATTTGTATTGTCTAGATCTAATAAAGCATTTTTATTAAATTTTATTTGATAATATTTTAAGAAATTTTATGAATAGTAGGAGTAAAAATGAGTATGTTGAAAACTATTAGAAATATTGTTAAGCATCTAAACATAGCTAAATAAGATTTTCTTTCTAATTTTTCCAATTTTAAAAGTATATGCCTACCAAATCTACAATGCCTCAACTGCTCCCCAATCATCATGCCAGAACCTGCAACATATCCTTCTTGTAAGCTGTGATTTCATATTTCTAATATATTTCTAACAGGCTCATGCTTATCACTACTTTGGATTCTTGCGTTTGCACCATCAAGACACTATACCCTTGGGAATTTCAACGGCTCATAATTTTGTTGAAGAGAGGACAATTTGCTTATCCTGTCAAATCAGTTTAGCCAGAATCCCCTATCTTCCATATCCGATCCCTCAATATCTGATCACATTTCTCACCCACCACTATCCCCCAGGTAATATATGATCTCCCTGCCCTGCCATCAGTAAAAATCCTTTTAAGTCAGTTTAGCAAAAAATTATCTATTTTCTTAATGATTTTCAATCCACTACCTTGCATTCTTCTCCTTGGCTATAAATTCCAATTTGTCTTTGTTGTATTCAGCATTGAGAACAATCTCTTTCTCCTACTTCAATACCTCATGGCAGTAGACCCTTGAAATCCCTTGAATAAAGTCTAAACTGCCATCTTTAACAAGTGTTATTATTTTTCCTTTAACAGTTTTTGTTGCTCTGACTTGTATAGGATCAAATTCATTATTGGATTCCCAATATTCTGACCCAGAATCCCAAGCACCTACCTTTGAAGCGATTGTCTTCACTTCTGGTTGATTGATGGATGAGCCCTTGGTGATTTAGACTCCTGAGCCAGTGCTCCAAATGATAGTCTGTTGAAGTACAGTTAAGGCAGAGAGAGTCTCAGTACACTATACAAAGGCTGAGTTAGTCCTGTTTCTTTTTTTTAGAAGTTGGTTTAGTCACAGGTTTCTTTGTTAGGAAGGTACTGGCTGGATTGTAAGTCTTACTTCCTGTTTCTGTCTTTGAGTGGGAATTTACTTCTTGAATCCCTGAGCTGAAATATTTTGCTTGATTATTTGTGAGGCCACTCTGTTCTATTTGATCCTATTTCTCCCATGGTAACTTTTTAGTCAACAGAAACCCCCTTCTTAAACCCTTACTGATCGTATACTCCACTTCCTTACTTGTGGTCATGGTTTTGCTAAGGATGATTTGAGACTTCAGGATCTCTTTGGGAAACTGAAGATTTTCCCGAAGTGAGTCTTCTGAGATCTCTTCCTTCCCATTGTTTCTGCTCCCCATTCATCCTTTTACTACCTTCAATCTACCCTTCAACTTTCTTGAATCTTTTGACACGTGCCTCTTCAGACCTCTTCCCTCTGCCTACCTGTCCTCCCAGACGATTTTCCTTCCTGCTTCAGCCATTCAATCACTTGAACTTTAGGTCTCCTATTTCCATAATAACTTTCAAGGGACTCTAGGACCCCAAAAGCAATTGTCTGAGGTTGAAAAAGGGGGAAAAAAAGACTGATTGAAAAATAGTTTGTATATTTTATCCAGATGAGGCTTTGAAGACATCCAGATAGGTGCTTGATGTTCTTTCAGTCTCTTGCCTAAAATGTAGTCACAGCCTCCATAATATTGCATATATGGGCAAAAGAAAATCTTAAATGTGTCTTCTCCACAAATATTGGCTAAAAGCTTTAGCCTTCCTATTGAGAAGGTAACCTTAACTTGTTACATCTGTCAGAAACGCAATGGATAAAACTATAAAGTAGAGGACGTAAGAGAGTATTACTGTGTTGTCTAACTCCTGGCTAAAGTTTTAGAATAAAACCTTTACATCTCTTATAATATATGTATACATTACATTATATATATGCAATATATATTCATATATAATACCTATATGTATAGAATATATACATCCCATTCTCTGTATATATAGAATATATGTATATCCCATTCTGTAAATCTAGAGAATATATATTATATATATGTATATGCAGCATACATGATAATATATATCATAATATATATGAGATTTCTCTATGGATGGTATTACCAAATTACTTAGTACTTTCTTTTTGTTTTTTAGAGACAGATTCTCACTCTGTCACTCAGACTAGAGTGCAGTGGTGCAATCACAACTCACTGTAGACTCAGATTCCTGCGTTCAAGGGATACTCCTGCCTCAGCGTCCCAAGTAGCTGGGACTACAGGCATGTGCAACCATGTCCAGTTAATTTTCAATTTTTTTTCTAGAGGTGGGGTCTCACCATGCTGTCCAGGCAGGTCTAGAAGTCCTGGGCTCAAGCAATCCTCCTACCTTTGTCTCCCAAAGTGTCAGGATTACAGGTATGAGCCACCACACCTGGCCTAAAATTTCTTAAGTTCTATTCCAATTTTCAGAGATAAATTTGTGCTTATATAAGGCAAATATTTCTAAAACTCTCAGAAACTAATTCAAATACTTTTCAAATTCACATGAAATGGATGTATATTTGACAATTAATACTAGCTTCATATTGTTTGTTTCATAAAAACAACTACATTTTCTGGTATATCAGCATTCAGTATAACATGAACATACATTTTTATTCTACTTGGGCTTACTAGTTGAATCAGGTAATATGTCTTCTAGATATTTAGGAATATAAACAATTATCAGTTTGACCTTAGAATAAGTATACAAGTAAAGGTACAGTAAAGAAGAGTTGTTTGATGCCCATTACTTCATATTTCTCAAGACAGCCATAAAAACCAAAACTGCGTGTTTAACTTCGTTGGTTTTTGCTTTTGTGATGCTTGCCTACCATGATGATGTTAACTGTAAAAACAGTTAACAGGGAAGTAAGTTGAGATTGTGGCTAGCTTTGCCTTGTATTACAATATCGTTGCCAAAAACAGTTTCCAAATTATTTTTGTTAACTTGAAGCTTTAAAGTTTTTCTAAGCTGTATTAAGTAATAAATATTCATTAAATATCTAGGTCATTTCTAAGTAACATGAACTACTGAAACACTAATTGTTAAGCATTAGGTTTAATTTTATAGATTTTTTGGCATTTTATTTTAAAAATGAGACTAAAGATATTTGGACCTGTTAATAAACATGTTATTTTGTCACATAAAAATTGTGCTATGAGGAAGCATGAATCTATAAGAAATTTTGAGATGATATATTCATAAAATTTGCTAGTCTGCTACATAATGCAAGACAGACAATTTACAGTCATCTTCTTCCCATTTTTCTCAGTCAAAAGAAATATTACTAATGGTCAAAAGTGATCATCAATATATGTAATTAAAACTACTAGAAATAACAACCATGAAGAGAAACATCTTTGTATGTAGAGTATGCAAGGAAAATATGATATGTTTTCAAGAAAAATAATTCGATGTATGAAGAATGTATTTTTTGTCAAGGGAACAGGAGGATAATTTTGTCCTAAAGTAAAATGATTAGTTGTGCCAGAATCAGAAAAAAAAGAGAGAGAAGGACAAAAGCTAAACAGATATAGAAAGTTGTAAAAAGTTCATGGAAGAAAGAATTTTATATGTTTAAGCTGGTAAGATTGAACAGATTTATTTACAAAGTTTTGTAAAAGAAGAAGAAGAAGAAGAAGCAGAAGGAGGAGGAGGAGGAAAAGGAGAAGGAGAAGAAGAAAAAGAAGAGAGCCCAATGCTGTAATAATGCAAAACTAGATTTTTTTTTTTCTGTTGAAAATGCCTGTTTTCTTGGATTACAGTACAAGGTCTTTTTGTTTGTTTTACCTTTTCAGTAATCTTCCTAGGAAGCCAAGATTTTGTGTCTTATCAAGTTAGTTTTCTGTGTTTATGTTAACCTTTACCATTGGCCTTGATTATTTAAGAGAACTGAGAGCTTGCAATTTAAAAGCACTAAAACATTTTACGTGTTTTACAGTGTTGCCTTTTCAAAACAAATCTTAAGTAAAATCTTGTTCTCGAACTGATCTTGAAATTTCTCGAAGGGACCCTGAATAATTTCAAAAAAATTGTTCTTTCACCTTGTAAAGAGAAATGCTAAAAATAGTTTGGTTTATTTAATTGATACATTGCATTGCATTGCATGAAAAAACACTTTCAAATAAGATACTTTAACTTTCCCTAAATTATATTTTTTTATGGGCAAACATTAGGCATTTTAGAAATTACATAAAATTCCTAGAAATTTGTCAATGTCCCTTCTGTCCACAATGTATCTTGGTATAATATCATCAGGGGTGGCTCTAATTTTTATTTAAAATATTATATGCCTCAAAAATAGCCAAATTATCTTGTCCTTTGGGTCATTTTTATATTGAACTCTCATTACATGATAATTTCCATTTTAAATTTTTTGTCATTCACTCATATTCTGATTCTTCTCCAAAAATATTTGCAATCAGCTACAAGTCATAATGCTTCATGATGGTGTTGATTAATTTAGAGACCATAGTATAGTACTGAATTAAGGATTTTCAGAACTAGAGTAGAGAAAGAAATGGGTTTATGAAATTCCTAACCCAAGAGCAAGGAGAACAAAAATTATTTGTTCTGATGGATGATAATGAACTGAAGAAAAGTGATTATGGTTTTGTTTGAAAGTTTGTTGGTTCTTTAATGCTCTACTTTCTGGATATAAGCACTCTTTTCATTTTTCTCATATTTATGGAACCACAGAACAAGCCCAATCTGGTTCAACTTTGAATAATAAAATGGTGAGTTATTTTTCAGTTGCCATGGATTCTGGGTTGCAATTATGTAAACTGCTTATGTTAAGATAAACCACGTGTAACTGTAGTTAGAAACTAAATTCTAGGATCACAAATCAGGGACTGAATTAAGAAGGGGATATCTCATGACATAATCCAATCAGATCAAGTCCTGACACCACCCCATGGCACAATCCAGTCGGATCATGCCTCACGGCATCATCTCATTGTAAGATGCAATCAGCTCACACCTTGTTACCCTCTGCCTATAAAACCTGCCCCAGTCCCCAGTCTTCAGAGGCAGATTTGATCACTGCCTTATGTCTCCTTGCCAATTAACTCACAATAAAACCCTTATTTTCTCAAAGACTTGTGCCACATTGGGCAGAGAAGCCATTGCTTACTCAGTAACATTTACACTTGTAAAAATCAGTAGATTATACTTTTGTAAATATAATATTTTCTCCCCGATCCTTCTAGAATTTGTAAACTATTGAATATTCTTATTTTCCTGGCAATACAGTTATTTACCTGAATTTAATAAGAATCTGTTCTCTTTGTAACAGAACACAATTGGAAACATTGGTTATATTTATAATGCTTTGACTTCAATGCCATATTTGAGAATGATGTGTATAGAATCCAAGTTATGGAATTGAAGTTAGTTTTATAGAACCAATTTTTACAAAGCTATCTTGAAAAAGCTGGCCCAATAATAATTGGCTTCTAGGGTTCCTAGCCATACAGATGAGTAAGGAAGATCACTTCCTAGCAGGCGCAGGGAAGATGGGCTATCTTGGGAACCTCAAGAAGAGAGGAATTCATTCAAATCTGTAAGTACCAGAAGTGAAGTCTGATGGCCAGTTCTTGGCTTGACTTATTAGCTTCAAGAGGTTTTTGAAATTATAACCTGAGATTCCTTATGAAAAGTTCCAGCAAAGAAAACTCAAAAAGACCTATGTGGTCAGTTACCATTCTTCCTTTCCTTATGTAAATAATCAGGTCAAATCTAATGAGACCAGATTTATTTTGTCTTTTAAAATAGAATAACCTCACTTTAGTTATCTTTGATAAAAAATGAGCATGACTAGAAAGATGCATTTTATGTTTCAGTGGAAAAATACAGTGCACTCTTGTGAGTTTTCGATTATTCTAGCTTTTTTCCAGTATCCATCTACAACTTCCAATTTTCTCTCACCCTCCTGACTTGGAGTCAATGAGATGTAAAACTGTCCTTTTTTCAAAACTTTGCAAGCTGAAGCTCGACTATGTGATATAAACTTCATGGAAATCACTGTAACAGATTATGAATAGACAGCCTTTTTGCTTGTTGCTGTGTGGGCCATGCAGAATGTTCATGGAAACACTTCATGCTATCACTGAAAACATTCAACCTGCAAATCCAGAAACTTTGTCAGTTTGCCACTGCCATCCCCACTTCACTACCTAAAAATGCTTCAAACTCAAATCAAGATGTCTTCTTGAATGGTGGCCCTGTGGAATCAGAAACTGAATTTCTAACCATTAATTTAAAAAAAAATTTTCACAGAAATTCCCCTCATTAAATCCCTGACTGCTAACCCATCCAGCAAACATACTATACTACCATCTCCCAACAGGTGCTTCAGCTTGTCCTCAATGAGCAAAAGATAACTCAAAAAGAAATGGACTTGTTTTGTTCAATGGAAAAAACAATATTTCTTTTCTTAAACAAGAGGAGGGACTGACAAATAATCTTTTCTTGACCAAACTTTAATCAGTCTCCTCTGAGCCGAACTAGGCCCCATGTTGGGCATATCCTCCAAGAGCCTAGTTTTAGCACTTACCCTGTAGAGTCAGCTTAGCCAAAATCCCTTGCTTTCCACATTTCATCCCTCTCAATATCTGATCAAATTTTTTATCCACCACCATCCCTCAAGTAATGACTGATAAATCTATCTTGCATTAAGCAAGAAACTTGCTGGGTCATTCTTGCAAATAATTACTCTACTCTCTTAGTGATTTTTCTATCCACTGACTCACATCCTACTCCTTGGCTATAACCTTCTACTTTTTGTATTCAGAATTTAGCCCAATCTATCTCCCCTACTACAAAACCCATTGCATTAGTCCCCATGAAGCTACTTGAATAGTCTACTTTATGTTTAATAAGGGTCATCATGAATAATTTTCTTTCTTTAACAGCATCTAAGAATCTGATTCATCTAATAATTGTGAATTATATAATTCTCTAATAATTATGACTCACATAAAGAGTATCTTCCTCTATTTATATTTTTCTCTTTATCATTATCATAGGAAAATTAAAAATTCTGCATTTTCAACTGTGTTCAATGAATGGTTGAATACACAGATTAAAGGATAATGTCTTTAGAATTTTACTTACCTACTTGAAAGACTGCAGTACTTTGGGCAGCACAATACCAATAGTGAAGAATACTATCCTGAAATGGTTCATTATTTCAATACCGCATCTTCTACTTAGATGAGTCCATCATTCTTCCATTTTCTAATTATTTCAATCTGTGCTTTATCATGGTTAGAATAATTTATGTGTGATGAAATACTCTCTATTAACATGAAATAGTAAAATATTTCAAGATATAAAAAATATAAGATCACCATGATCTGGTAGTATATCATAAGATTTACCAAAAGGTCTAATGGGCTTATATGTTAATTATAATTTATAATGAATGTGCCATTTAAACAAGAATAAGTATTCTCTTTTTTTGTCTGGTAGAATTCCAATGAAGTATAAATATCATCATATATCAAACTTTAAAACAAAAAATGTGTTTAAACAAACAGACGAAAAAACCAATAAAAACAAAAAACTAATTGGTTTCAACAGACTCTGATGATTTATCAAAGGTGAACAGTATTTTTTGATGAGCAGCCATTTTTAATGTTGATGATAAAGTCAAGTTCATTAACTTTTTTGGTATCGCTTTTGTGTATTCTAACCATTGCTTAATTAGTATAATGGAAATATTCTCATATGCTTTCTTCCAGGGGCTTTATAATTTTAGTTTTTAGGGTAGGTATAATAACCATCTTAAATTAAGTGTATGGTGTGAAGAAGAGGATGAAGTCCCTTTTCTACCCTATTTATTCAGTCATATTGGGTGCCTTTGTTGAAAATCAATTGTGTATATATATGTGGTTATATATTTGAAGTCTCTATTAGGTACATGTCTCTATTTTTCCTTATATCAATATCATACTCTCTGGATTACTATCTGAAATATGATGATGTCAGTCATTTGCATTATTATGGAAGTTTTATCATCAATCGTCAATTCTGACAAAAACAAACCAGAATTTTAATTAAAAATTTGTTGGGTCTGTAAATTATACAATCCACTTACCAATTTCTACCAAAAAATTATTTAGAATTTGAGAATTTGCTGGATGCACAAATAAATTATTTGAATCTAAAAATATATTTTTCTCAACATGGTATTTATTTATATTTATTCAAGTCATCTTTAATTTGAGCAATGGTTTTATTTTTTCAGTGATTCTGACATCTTTCATGGCTTGTAAAATTTATTCCTAATAATTTTGTCTTTTTTCTATTATTACAAGTGATTTTTGCACATATGTTTCCTCCTACTACATAGAAATACAATTTATTTTTGTATATTGATGCCTTGGATCCTATGACTTTGTTAAATTTAACCATCATGATATTGACAAGCAATAAACAGATTTAATACTTCTTTTCCAATCTCTAAGACTTTAACATTTTGTTGCTGTTATTGCTGCCTTATTTCCATGGCAGTAAGTAAATGGGCTTCCAGTCACATGTTAAATAGAAGTTATTAAAACAAACTTCTGTGCTTTGTTATGATGTTAGGAAGAAAGCATTAAGTATTTCAATATAAGGTAAGAAGACAGCAGTAGTTTTCTTACAGATGCACCTTATCACACTGAGGACATTTCCTTCTATTCCTGGATTGATGAAGTTTGATATTGAGAATAACTGTGGGATGAATTTTGTCAAATATTTTTTCTCCATCTGTTGAATTTAGGGAGCTTTTTTTCTCCTTTATTTTGCTATATGATGGATTATACTTGCTGGTTTTGTAATTTAAACCAAATAGAAGTATACATTAAGTAATTATATAATTATTTTTATATACTGTTGATTTGCTAAGATTCCCTTTCTGCATTTATGTTCTTCAGAAATATTGATACGTAATTTTCTTTTTTATTTTCCAAAATCTTTGTCAGCTTTTGCTATTGGAGTGCCAATCTCAGAGAAACCTTCAGTCTAGGGCTAATTTTGCCTTATAGCCAAGGCATACCCTTCTGAGTACTCTAATGACCCGCATATTACAAACTTTTTCATTTCAGTTAACAGAAATAAGAATTAGTCTTCTTTTCTGTGTGTGTTGCAGAAGACATTGCAACTGTTCCTTTCCAGTGATTCTTTAGCAACCTTGAATAGTTTGTTCACACACATGCCATGATAAATGTTCAGACATAAAATAATCCCTTTCTCTCTCTCCCTCTCTGCGGTTGTGCTTTCCATGCAGCTTTCTCCTCTCCAGTATCTGCTTGACAATTATAATTGTCAAGCAAGAATCCAAGTATCTTAGCTATGTCTCTTCAATTCAGAGAGATCAGTTGTCTCTTTGACTTCACTCTGCTTGTATTGCAACCCAGAAACTGTAGCCAGTAAGATATAAAAATAACCTCATTTCCACCCTCCACCCATCAGGAATCATTGTCTTGTTCTGCCTATTTTATAATGTCTAAATTTTGTTTTACATATATTAATTCTACTTTTTTTTTAGTTGTTTAAGGATAGAAGTAAATCTGATCCCTATTTCTCCATCATGGTAAGAAGCATCTTTCTGGTTATAAGATTATTTGCCTACACATTCTTTCCTTTATTTTCTTGAAAACATTGCTCCATTATTGTCTTGCTTTCTGTGTTACTGCTGAAAAATCTAATCTTGCCTGCTTTTCTTTCCATTATAAATGACTTGTCAAACATGAATGAGTTGGTTGTGTAGCTTAGAGGCTTGCTGAATATTTTATCTTTAAAGTGGAATCATATATGTTTTGGGGTTGTCAATTCTTGGTTAAGTACTCAAGAATTACTGAAGAAAATCAGAAAAATCACTCTTGATCACTTGATATTTAATTGTGTGTTTAATTCTAAACAGAACATAGGTAATATAGTGTAAGAATAATGCATAAATGTTATACATTCTGATAATGCCAGAAAATACCCAACTAAAAATACAAGGAGATAGAAAGGGGGAAGTAGTATAAACTAATACATCTACACTGTATAGATAATAGGTGTAAGTCATAAACTATTATTTAAAGCAAAACAGACATTAGAAGCAAAGTTAGAAAATGAGACTAATGAAATAAAGATAATTGTAAAAGCTAACTACTTAAACAAAACTGCAAGAGTTCCTAAATACCAAAATGAATACAAGAAAAATATCTGCAAAACTACTAGTGCTATGGCTTGAATGTCTGTCTCTTTTAAAACCCATGTTGAGGATGGGAGCAGTGGCTCATGCCTATAATCCCAGCACTTTGAAAGGGGTCAGGAGTTCGAGACCAGCCTGGCCAATGTGGCGAAATCCCGCCTCTACTAAAAATACAAAAAGTAGTCAGGGGTGGTTGTAGGTGCCTATAGTCCCAGCTACTCAGGAGGCTGAGACAGGAGAATTGCATGAACTCATGAGGCAGAAGTTGCAGTAAGCCAAGGTTGTGCCATTGCACACCAGCCTGAGCAACAGAGCAAGACTCTGTCTCAAACAAATAAAACCCATGTTGAAAGATAATCCCCAGTGTAACAGTATTAAGAGGTGAGGCCCTTAAGAGGTGATTGGATCATGAGGCTTCTGCCTTTGTGAATGGATTAATCTATTCATGGATCAATGGGCTAATAGATTAATGGGTTATCACAGGAGGGGTTAGTTATCACAAGAATGGGTCTATTATAAAAGTTAGCTTGACTCTCTTGTGCCCTTTTAGCCTTGTGATGCCTTTTGCCATGTTGTGATGTAGCATGAGGCCCTCACCAGAAGCCAACCAGATACTGCTACCTGATATTGGACTTCCCAGACTCCAGAACTGTAAAAAATACATTTCTGTCTATATAAATTACCCATTCTCTGTATTCTGAGATGGCAACAGAAAACACACCAACACAATCACAAAGGGAAATATAATACAATGAGCAACTTTCTAAATCAGAAACACAGAAGGTGCAAGAAGTCAAAATTCCTAATAATAGGGGCCTTTAATTTTCACAGTTCAATATAAGTCAAGAGGCCAAAAATTGCCAAATATCACCACAGTAAATTGCATGAGCCAAGAACTTTTAGAGACATAAGCACAAGTTTATGGGTTCAAAAACACAGTGAAGGAAATTAATATTCTTCTCTCAGAATTTCCTAGTTTGAATAGTTTAAACATTAACAAAGACAGAGAATATAAAGAATCCAAAGTTATCTTTTAGAATTTTAATTTTGTGTGAGTTTTGGTCAACAAAGTACACATGATAGGTAGAGATTAAAAAAATATTTCATACCTGACCATAAACCAGTATAATTCAGAATATTACAACAGAGGAGAGAACCACATTACATGAGAGAGATGTTGTTGGCTTATAGTAGTATAGTAGAAAATGAGACGAGAGAATTGAAGATATTTGGAAGCAAGTTATTTCCTAGGTAGTAGGATAGGGCTAATAGGCAGAAATTTAAATTTATATTTTAAATCCATAGATGCAGTAAAAACATTAGTAACTTAGGGTACCAGTGTAAAAAATGTATGTTAATATAATTTGTGAATAATACTGATTACTAGGAATAAACACTACATTGAATGTGGCAGACACAAACTCACCATTCTTTACCAGCTCCAAGGGTTAAAAGAAAGTAAAAATTTTGGTCTCAAATTTGTAACCAGGTGAGCATACCCTGATAATATAAACTTCCATGTCACAAGCGACTGCCTGAAAATATCATTCATGCAAATGAAGATGACTTACTTGAGCAGCAGATTTTGGTTCCATGTTCAAATAACTTTATCTGCTAGAATTTTTTTTTTTTGTTTTGGAATAATATTACAAAGGACAAGTATGTTTTTCTTTTAAGGCCATGAGTTGATTGTTACAGATTAGGTTCATTTGAAAAGTGGTAACTCATATTATCTTGATTTGAGTGAACTGTTTCTCAGGATGATACATCATCTTTATATATCCTGAATGTTATAGACATTTGTTTGCTAACAGCATATCCCACAATACCTTTTATTTCTTTCACACCCAATGGGAAATCATGAGGGTGTTTTGTTTACTAATTACGTTGCGTTTTCAAAAACAGCTTCATCACAACTTTCTGATCCAAGGCTATTGATTACAGGACACGGTTATGGAAGCAAGGCTGTAACAATATCCTTACTTCTCTGTACCAAATATATGCAGCATTGGAATGTCTGCTTCAATAAGACTTAATCAGTTTTTGTTTGAATTATATGCGTTTTCAGAAAACTGGGTGAGGCCGGGAGCAATACTCAAGCCTGTAATCCCAGCAATTTGGGAGGCCGAGGCATGTGGATCACCTGTGGTCAAGAGCTTGAGACCAGCCTGGCCAACATGGAAAAACCCCATCTCTACTAAAAATACCAAAAAAAAAATAAATAAATAAATAAAAATAAAAATAAAAAATTAGCCAGGAATGGTGGCAGGCACCTGTAATCCCAGCTACTCGGGGGCTGAGGCAGGAGAATCGCTTGAACCCGGGAGGCGGAGGTTACAGTGAGCTGAGATAGCACCATTGCACTGCAGCCTGGGCAATAAGAGAGAAACTCTATCTCAGACAACAACAATAAAAACAAAAAAACCTGGGTGGTGGGCCTGCTGCAGTGGCTCATGCTAATAATCCCAGCACTTTGGGAGGGCTGAGTTGGGAGGATTGCTTCAGGACAGGTGTTTGCAACCAGCTTAGGCAACATAGTGAGGCATCACCTCCACAAAAATTAAAAAAAAAATAGCCAGGCTTGGTGGCACATGCCTGTGGTCCTAGCTACTTGGAAGACTGAAAGACTGAGGTGGGAGGATTGCTTGAACCCAGGCAAACAAGGCTGAAAAGAACTATTATCACACTACTGCACACCTGGGTAATGAAGAATTAAGACCTTGTCTCTTCAGAAAAAAAAAAAAGTAAAAAGAAACAGATGAGTGATGAATGTTCATTTACATCAAAGTAATATTTCAAAATATAAACATTAAAATTATTTTGAAGTGATACTGTACCAAGTAATTCATTTTTAAAATAGAAATAAATCATTTCGCTCTGTAGTTCCCCTCATAAAAGACTATTATATGTGGATATATGGATAAATATACTAACATAAAAAATACAATTATATATTTATGCATTTACACTTAATTTTGAAATTATACATAATGTGGCATATATTCCTATACATATAAATGCACAATTACACATATATAAATAGAGCTATATTCACTTATAAATCTGTGAGCATGTACTATTCTTCCGCACCATTTAGTACCGGTCCTACCTAAATTTTACCTACGGTTTACAAACCACTAACAAAAAGAATATACAGCTTTTCTAGTGTCATGACGGTCCACAGAATCTTGGTTAAAAAACAAACAAAAAAAAAGACTTTCTTAGTAAATTCTTTTCTCTCCTACTCCCATAAATATTATCATTTTCCATCATTCTATCCAAGCTTTTCTTCTTTTTCTTTGTTGCAATATTTTTGGTATTACAGAACTTCTCCTACAGCCATATTTAGAGCTTCAGCTAGGACTCCTTCCTGAATCCCAGTATCAGCTTTTGAATAATGACTATTCTCTTTACCTATTTTTCTGCTGACCAATAAAACACAACGCATCTAAAACTGTAATTTTCTTTTCCTGCCAGCTTCTCCTTCCAGGTTCTTATTTTTGGTAGGCTCAGTTTTCTCAGGGCTAATTTTGTACCTTTTATTCTCTCATAATTAGAGACATGCCAAGTCCTCTCGTCCTCAATATCTCACCTGCCACAATGTTTCCTATTTAGTTATCACTGCCATAATCAAAGTTCCCGTTAATACTTCCTTTAATTTTGGCAACAGCATTACATTACTGATGGTTTTCCCTACTTGTTCATTACAATTTTGAAGCATCAACCCCTAAACCGGAAGTGGGAAACTAGTTTTGGACGTTCCATCCCTAAACCAGAAGAGGGATGATCCGCCCTTGAGAAGAGATCTTGATGCACTCCCAGCCTACAAGCTTTAAGCAGATGCCTGCTTGACGATGTTAATGGGGGAAACGTAACAATCCTGCCTTGCTGTGCTGCGATGTGAATCAAGAAGGCTGCCTGCAAATGATCTCAGTTAACTCAGTAAGAAACAGTCATGGCAACATCATGTGTTAGCGTGAACCTCAGCCAGCCCTGTTCGGAGCTCCAGGGGGAGGTCCTTTCAGGTCAGGGATTCCCCGGACCTCATAATTTATGCTCTAAAAATTGTGCAGAAGTCGGTCTGCTTTCGCCCTGCTCTTGGCAAGAACTGGGGGAAGAAACCTAATGCCCCTTCGAAAGTATGTATTAATTTTTCAGGGCCTGGAATTTGCTGAGCTTGTATTTGTATTCTGCATTTTATGAAAAAAATGACAATGAGGAGCGCCAAGGAGTACTTGGGAACATGGAGGGCTTGAACAATTTATTATTATTATTATTATTATCATCATCATCATCATTATTATTTATTTTGAGACAGGATCTCTTGCCAGGTTGGAGGGTTCAAATGATACTCCCACTTCAGCCTCCTGAGTAGCTGGGACTACTGGCATGTGCCACCATGCCAAGCTAATTTTTCTTTATTTTTCATTTTCTTTTTCTTTTTTTTGGAGAGGCAGGGATTTGCCATGTTGTCCAGGCTGGTCTTGAACTTCTGAGCACCAGTGATCAGCCTCAGCTTCCTGAAGTACTGGGATTAAAGGTGTGAGCCACCACACCTGGCCTCTGTGTCCTACTTCTGTTTTTTTCACTTCTGATGTGAAATAAACAAAGTTTATTCTGTTTTGTAATAATAAGAGTAGTTATATTAAATAATAGTAAGGCTGGTGCAAAAGTAATTGTGGAAAAAGCGCAATTACTTTTGCACCAACGTGTGTGTGTGCGTGCGCGCGCAATTTTTTTTTTTTTCTTCTGGGAAATAAAAAAAAGGAACTGGGGCCCAGTGTCCTGGAAACTGGAGTACTTCTAGCACTGTCTCCCTTTGCTGCCTCCCAACAAGCTGTTTGTGCTGTGGTCATGCCAATCAGCTGGGCTTTGAGGAGGAACTGGAGGACCAGCTATGAATGCACTGTGAGTGAGCATCTCCCATCTTGACTGTATGGAAGGCAGAGGTCTGGCATCCTTTGTGTCAGGACACTGAAATTTATCCAGATTAAGTATAACCTTTGCCCAAATCCACCTGGCTGGAAGAAGCACATTGCACAGTTGCCACCACAGTAAGTCTTGGATTGCTTGAGACAGGAGTTTTAGCAATTGCTGCAATAACTGGAGGAAGAAATAAAAATCCTTAGCAGCTTCGTATAGAGAGTTTCAAGATGGTGACTCAGGATCTGAGCTGTCAACTCCAACAGTTCCCTCTGATTTTTAATGACCTTAAAGTGCTTTCATTTAGTGCCTTACTTGTATATAATCTCACATATTTTGTAAATGCAAAGCGAGTAAGCACATTCAAGGGCTATTGATCAATTACTTTTATTTCTTTGAGGTTCTGCACAATTGAACATCCCTGTGTTTTGGA